ATTTTAGATCTAGTACTAGAATGAGCATGTAATTAGTTAAAAATAAGGCACTAGACTTGTAAAAAGAGAGAAGAAAGAGAATGAAATATCATTACTTTCATAACAATCAAAAAGCACTCATTGGAGATGATTACCTTAGAGATGAAGATTAAAGCTTGATTTGTGATTCGTGAAGGTGGAACTTGAGAGTCATTAGAATGAGGATAGGGATGTGGACTGTGGTCTGTAGAGTAAGATTAGGTTGACATTGAACTATATTCAAGAATGCAAGAAGACGTTAGCTAGTCTTTAGTCTTTATGTCAAGAAGCAAAGAGACACAATTTATATTTTTAATTAATAAATTATAAATTATATATAGTATACAACATGTGTATATGTAATGTGTAATATATATAATACACAATTGATATATAATATATTATAATATCTAATTACATATTATTTATATATAGATATATATTATATATAATAATTTATATGTTTAATGGCCAGCTCAAAAGCTTGAGCTTGAGCCTGACCCAGGCCTCTTCAATAAAAAGGCTAGGCCAGGCTTGAAGTAGGTCAGGGCATAGGCCCTTGTTAATAGCTTGGCCTGTTTCTACCCTTAATGACATGTAAGGGGTGGAATATAGGCTAGGCCGAGTTACACTTTGGCTAAATAGGCCTAAGCAGGTATGGTGAAACAGAATCTTGAACTTGCCTTGAAACCTGTATAAGGCTTTTCTTACAACTTAGGCTTGAGCCTATTTAAAGCTAGATTGGCTTGGCCTAAAAGCTTATTTAAAAGTATACTTTTAAGTAAGCCTTTTAAATAAGCTTGTGTATTAATTTTAAACACCTTAAATATACTTTAGAACTATTAGTATAAATATATAACTTGATTTATCAATTACAATATATAATAATTAAAATGACTTATTAACTACAATACAATAATAAAGTAATAATATTAAAATAAGTTCAATCTAATTGAAAACATAATTAAAAATAAAAATAATAGATTGATTAAAAATCAAATGGTGAAATTGGTGTGTGATATATTACATAATGTGTGCATGTGTGTGTAAATAGGTCGACCTGTTGGGCTCGTAAACTGAAATACATCCCTTACCCAAACACATTTTATACTTAAATCTACAGTAATCTTTGGATTAACCTAATCAGGTTACCAAGTTTGAATTTGTAGAAAATAGAATCCCAAGTTTTTATAGTTTAAAAATTACTTAAAATTGTTTAATAAACTTTTAATTAGAGTAAAATATTATTTCAGAAGTATGGGATATCTCGCATAAGTGAAAAGACTTAAAAATAGTTGAAAATTAATAAGGAATGAAAAGTAGAGGATTACGCCATGACCTTGCACCTACGTGCTCCTTTTCTGTGCTACAAGCCGCGACATAGGCGCCATGCGCTACTATGTGTTGCACGTTTTCAGATAGCAATTCTACTATCATTTGATAGCAAACTTGGGCAACTTTAGACGTGCCTCATTTCTCTGTCTGACATCTGAATGAGGTGATCTAGATGTTTATAAAAAGTTATTTTTGTAAACTAGCTAATGATATGGGTTATACTTTCAAATTAAGTCATATAAGGAAGTTGAACATCCAAACATATTTTTACAACTTTTCACAATTTAAGGGTATCCAAAACCCAACACATGTGCCAACTGCAATTCCTAACACCCAAAATATGCTCAAAAAACATGACTACCTGTACAATGCACCATATGCACACAATTTCAATCATATCAAAATTTCATTCATCAACCCCTTTAATATCAAAAATATAGGGGGAGGTTTCATCATTATATGTTACAACCATATTTATAGTTATGATCCAATTAACATTCATATACTTGTACTAGTATTTTGACCCTATCAATATTTACAAATCTCATAAACAACATTTCAAGCCCAAGATACTTCCAACAATCATAAACTTTAATAAGTGCAAGTATATGCAAAACATAACATAATTGGCAATATACTTATATATTACACAAAATAAATGAAGTAAGGAGGCATTATAATAGGAATACTTAAATTCCTAAGCCTCTGAAATTTTTTCCCTTTCTACATCAGAGCTAAAGCTTGTAAAATATTAAAAGAGAGGAGTGAATCTAGCCACTCAGTAACTAAAGTAAATATATCCTATGTAGTTGTATATCAATTGATTTAAACACATAAAAGGGGAGTTAATCACTCAAAATATGAGATCATGCATAATACAAGTTGTAATTTCAAAATAAACTCAATTTTCATGTTTGTCATTTAGAGTAAATTGCCACAATACACTCAAACATGTGATAATAACCTAATAGATCAATCAATGCATAATATTACATACAGACACCATGTGACAATGACACATTCACTACCACAACTTACAACAAACTTAATAACCATGTGACATGCTGGATATACACATATGCATGATTAGTTTCTCTTTATATCCTCCTTATTTCCTCCAACTGGACTATCTAAGCTCACCAATTGTGAGGTGTGACCTAGCTAAAGATCATCGTACTTTCTCTCAGACTACAGCTTTCCCCACTTTTGAATATTTGGGGTGTTGTATCCCCTAAGCTAATATCCTCGATAAATAGGTGGAGATAACTAGATTCTAGTTTCTTGACAAATTATAGGGACAGTCCCTTGACAAATAATAGGACAAGGCTATGATTTTATGCACTAGAAGGCAGCCATAAATATCATATGAATTTTATCTACTCCTCTCCCTAGGTGAACTCTCGCCAAATGATCATACAATGCTTATGCTCACTCATTTCCCAATTTACTTAATATCAACACATTAGGCTTATGATAATGTGCTACCTAAGTGAGCATCAATGTCATATCCACAAACATTCTCCTTTCAATTCTAAGTTCTATAACGCATTTCAAATTTTCATTTAGTCACATATATAATATTCACATGTTAACGCAAGCCTACTAGCATCACATCACCTATCATGTCTTGCTTTTAAGCTTGATTTCTCAACATATGGTGTCCGAATGATTAATTTACAATTAATTAAGTTCGAATTCATCAATATTGTTAAATACATGCCTCCAAGTCTAATCTTCTAAATTCCAAAACACTCAAAGCTCTCATTTCTCATAATTAAGCTTACCCATTGAGTGTTTTAAATCTTCATAGCTCCCATTAACATCATTATTTATTTCTAATGTCATTCCTCATAAATCCAAATTAGAAGCCCATTTTGGACATGAATGAGGCTCATCAATCAAAAATGTCAAAGCCCATTAACTCTATTTAAGTCACCCATAACCTATATGGACTGAAGATAATCTCTCATTATCAAAACATAACAAAAAATTTTAAGAAAATGGGGTGGGAAGGGAGAAGAATATGTTAGGAAACTTACTCTTAGGATTTGAAAGCTTTAAAATGCCTTTAACCTTCTTAAGAATGAAGCCTTAACAGAGCTCTCTTCATCCTCTTCATTTCCTCTATCTCTTCTCTCTATTTCTTGCATCAGTTTGGGTCTTATTTTTGCATAAAATGTATCGTGCGTTGCGGCGCTTGTCCCTACACATTGTGGCATGTGGTATAGAGAAGGCTATTTCATGTTCTAATGGCCCATGTGCCGCAGCATGCCATGCATGCACCACGACATGTGGTACAAAGCCATTTTTCCTTGTTTTTCTTACTTTTTCATGTTGGGGTGGCCTAACTTCACTTTGGATTCAATCCTAAAGTTGAAAACACAACCTAAAATACTCGTTAGCTCTTTGTAACCACACACCATGTAAATTTACTTGATTACCCTCATTCACTCAACTAATTGAAGGTCTTCTAGATGTTACATAGAGGCCTGGCCTATTTAACTTGATAGATCTAATTAAAAAGGTCTAAATTTAGCTTGAACCTATTTAATAAATAGCTAAGCTGAGCCTAGAATAGGCTAGGGTGTAGGCCTCTAATAGGAGCCTAACATATTCCTACCCTTAATGATAGGAACACCATGGCAAATGGCTATATTAACTGCAGTGCATGATATGAAGAGTGTTAGTAGTGGCAGATGGTTTTATTAGTCACAGGAGATGCTCTGTATACAACGAGTTGTAGTGGGCATGCTATTAGTCATGATGGATGTTATGGTTTTTACTAAAATGACTCTTTTGACCCCATTTTCATTTATTTTCAATCGTAAATAGTTTTCATGCTTCTAAATTACTTTTTACTCTAATTTTCATAGATTAAATGGCCTCTATGTTTGATTTCAAATTTAATTTTGTTTTGGAATCCCATTTCTATAAGTATTTCTTACTTAGCCTTAATGTGATTTAAATGAGTCAATGTTGATCTTAGTAACTTGCCATGGTATCTTTGTTATTGTTTTTTTGGTTTAGAATACCATGGTTATTCATTTTTAACCTGTCTAGATTTCAATTTATATTTGGCAAAAGTACACTTAGAGAATCCAACTCTTTATTTAACTTGGCAAAAGCTTATCCCAAATATGGTTTGAATGTTACCCAAATTGGCCTTAAGTGTATTAAGTAATGTGGTTAAAGGTTGGAAATATTACATTAACAATGATAAAGAAAAAGGTTTTAAACTTGATTAAAAGTGCATTTTTTTAATATTATATTTTTATTGATCGATTTGGATAACATCATCAATTTTTTTCCAACTTAAATAATCTAAACCTATTTTCGATTATTCAAATCATGCGTGTGGTTGCCAGAAAAAAGCACCCGTGGGCCATGGATATTCACATGGAACGGATAATTTATTTTTCCTCATTATCATTTTTTCCTCCGAATGACTGGCTGCGGAGAAAGATGCCACTATTGAAAATGGATAAACGGGGGAAAAACAATGTTAACAAAAGGAAACTAAAACGTCTACATGGAGCCACCGGAGCCACCTATCTTTGCGGGCAAGATTCTTCTTGCCTAATTTTGTGGCTCAAATCTCGTCTCTTCCAACCTATCCTTCCTCTTCATGTCTTCACGCTCGAGTAAAGTACAGATACCAGTGGCATTTTTTAGTTTCTGTACGGAACAAGTTGAAACAAAATTCGTTGTAGTTTCACATAATCGCCACTTTAAGTACTTGCGACGCACATACATTCATAGATATTCATAGATACTATTTTTAAATTCAGGCCCTCTGGATGCTAACTGCTAAATCATGAGCTCCATATCGTCGGCGACTACAGCTAGTTCCAGTTTCAGCAGTAACAGTGTTTACCGCCTCTCAAAATGTAGGCTTTCTTCGGATCTTCTTGGTTCCATTTCCTTTCCTAGAATCAAATGGGATCATAGTTTTCGCCGGTGTCACACTTCGTCGGAGCTGAAGTCTCGGTTCCTGCTAGCTCCCAGGGCTGCTGCTCCAGATACTAGCAAGGAAAGCAAGAGTGAAAATGCCCAAGATGGTGATGACGGTGGTGATGAAATTCAACAGACACAGAAGCAGCAATCGCCGCCGCCGCCCGTATCGATTAGGCTGGACGACGTGAACCCGGTAGGTCTGGGTCGAAAATCACGCCAATTGTTTGATGAGGTTTGGAGGAAGTTCTCTGGATTGGGTCAGATATCTCGGACAATCCGCGCTGATGATAAGGACGCCCTTGATGCCCTTCTCATCCGAGAAGGGCCCATGTGCGAGTTCGCAATCCCTGGCGCTCAGAATACTGTTGTGCTTGTTGTTGGTGCCACCAGTCGCATTGGTCGGATTGTCGTTCGCAAGCTCATGCTGAGGGGCTACACTGTGAAGGTGCCTCGCCTTTTTTCCACGACTCCATGCTTTTTAATTCTACTAGATGTCGTTCTTCACCAGCGTTTACTCGCAACTGCGTCGAACCATTCTATATCACTATGCAATTGAAAGTCGTTATTGAATATTTTAGAAGGTTACACCAGAAATTGATGTTCTTCAATAGTGTTTTTTTTTTGGGCCAGTATTGTTCTGCTGCGGCTGTCCGCACATGGTCTCTTTTGTGGGTTCTCTTGTGAATTGTTAAGAACTGGTTGAGTTCATTTTTTGTTTTATTGTACGGGAGAGGAAAAGCAGAAAGAACTCAAGAAGGGTAATAAGAAATGACAGAATGTGCTGTGAAGGTGATTGTTTCATTGACAAATGAAATAACGGAGTCTGAGATGGTATCCCTGCTAACTGGAAAATGAATTGAATGGTTGAAATTCATTCTAAAACTGATGGTTGGGGAGGATATTTTCCGCATGAGCTGTTTACAAACGGTTCAGAGTTGAATGGGGTTATTTTGTAAATTTCTTTGCTAAAGCAACACTTTTCAATGATTGTTTATTTTATTTTTAAGGATCGTGCGTTGCTCTGTAAAGGATTTTGAAACATGATTGGTTACCCTTTAAAAGCTGCAAAATTAAATATATGCAGGTCATTGCATAAAAGCATCATTCTACGTAGAAGTGGTTTAAATATATTAACGACTACTTGTGACTCCATTGAATGGTTTCTTTCTTTCTTTCTTTCTTTTTTTTTTTTTTTTTTTTTGGGGGGGGGGGGGCGCTGAAGGCTTTGGTGAGGAATGCTGATCCAGAGGTAGTGGACATGCTTCCAAGGTCAGTAGAGATAGTAACTGGGGATGTTGGTGACCCCAGCACACTCCAGGCTGCTGTGGAAGGTTGTAACAAAATAATATATTGCGCAACTGCTCGCTCTCCTATCACTGCTGATCTGTTTAGGGTTGATTACCGAGGAGTTTATAACCTTGCCAAAGCATTTCAGGTCTGTCTCTGTTATTTGAAGTTTTTAAGATCTGCCCTCTTTTGTATGTTGGTGCCATTGTTAAGGGCAAAAGTCAATATGCCTTACCGAGGAGGAAAATTACCAATTGAAATCCAGATGAATCGTTTTACTTTATTAAATTCTACAAAGATAACGTATCATTGCATGATAATTGAAAGTCTAAACATAAGGCTTGATGACAACTGTGCATTTCAGGATTATAATAATAAATTGGCACAATTACGGGCTGGTAAAAGCAGTAAGAGCAAGCTCTTGATAGCCAAATTTAAATCTCCAGATTCATTGAATGGATGGGAAGTTCATCAAGGAACCTACTTCCAAGATGTAATTGCCACGAAATATGATGGAGGGATGGATTCAAAATTCGAGTTCACTGAGACTGGAGAAGCTGTTTTCTCGGGTACATGAAGTGAATGTTAATACCAATAAGGGAAAACTCACGTTTCTTAATTTTTTTCTGGTCAAGAACTCTGTTTATCCTTATTTGATCCCCTTTTACTATTAATTCTAGGGTATGTTTTCACGAGAGGAGGTTATGTTGAACTTTCAAAAAAGCTTTCTCTGCCTTTAGGCCGCACTCTTGACAGGTACCAGATGATAGATATATGATGTCTGTTGGTGAGATTGTTATCTAGAATTGTCTTGTGGTGTGCTTTTTATATAAACTCTTAATACATCTTGAGTCAAAATCTGCCATGTTAGGTATGAGGGCCTGGTCCTCTCAGTTGGTGGCAATGGGAGATCTTATGTTTTAATTCTAGAAGCTGGTCCTTCTGCAGATCTAAGTCAGAGCAAATTGTATTTTGCAAGAATTAGCACAAAAGTGGGATTTTGTAGGGTAATAATTATTTCCTTTAAAGAAAGCAATTGTTTTGCTTTGACACTCTGTTTTCATCGTAGCAAAGATCCTGGCATCACTTTAATGACTTTTATATTAACTGTTGGTATTAATATGTCAGGTTAGAGTGCCCTTTTCGTCATTCCGCCCAGTAAAACCAGATGATCCGCCATTGGACCCTTTTCTTGTACATACATTAACAATACGTTTTGAGCCAAGAAGACAGGTTTTTTCCCCATTACCTTATTTCTATACTATGTTGTGATGGTAGAGATTGTAACCTTTACACTTGTGGAAATTGCATTGTACAAAAGCCATGGCAGAAAGTGGGAGAGACAAGAGACAACATCGGTTTTCTCATGTTGACTGCCACATATTTCTTGCTTTCCATGCCAATTGTGTGAGTTTCTTGCTGTGAATTGCATATAGCCCATTATTTGACTGCCTCAAGCAAGAAATTCTAACAAAGTAATTATTACATGATTATAGAAGCCTGTTTCTCACCCTTCACTTGGTCATGGATCTAAAACAAGTTATGCACAAACTACCTTAGAAAAATTTTAGTTGTTGCGGCATTGTAGCCGGTTGGTGTTTTATGGTTCATGCTAGCTAGAATGCATCGCTGCTCTTCACATTAATTTTCTAATGCTGCTAATCAGATGCAACGAATATGTTTCCGGCTTGGAATTTTCTTACAAGTGTAACTCTGATTTTTTTAGATATCTTACTATTTTTATCTAATTGTAGTTAACTAGATACTGTGGGATTTGCGTCTTTTGATCTTTAGTAGTTTTCGCTTACCAAGACATGCTTACAACTGTTTTTGTATTACTTCTAGTATGTGATTGAGCTTGTCTGATACCACCTGGCCCACATTAGAGTGATTTGTGTTGTTACTAGTTGAAACTGTAGCAACTATAGTATTTCAAGTTCTTGCCTGTCCATTCCAATGGCTTGCTTGCATCTTATTTATTTACTTTAGCACTCCTAAGTACTGAATAAACATTGATAACTCATTAAAATTATGGATAACTTTCCTTCTGCATATTACCCTTTATAACATACTTTGATACTCACTTAAAACCATGTAAACACTTCTTTCTATTAGCTCTGTCATAGTCAAATTTAAATGAAGCCTAGTCTGATGCCTTTTGGGTTCACTATCATAAAAAGGAATGCAAAGGTCTACAAACAATTAATTAAAACTAGAATTGTCTTTGGGAGTTTGTCTCTAAGGAAGTCTTGCCTTGATACTCAAATGACTAGATAGTAGATACAACCTGGCCTCATGTCTAGGAACCCTCCAAAATAGGGGCCTTTACTCTATTATCCTTTTCATTGCATTTCCTTTGTCAAAGTGTATAGCACTTGTTTTCACTTACAATCTTTTGTGGTCTTAATACATTATTTAATAGCTGACATAGCATATTTCTGCTTTTTAAAAAAATATTATTTTTTCAATAAAATAATTATTGATATCTTTTCGATGGTAATTTTCCTTCTCACAAATATTCAGAGTGTGATGATGCTGTATTTGCTGCTGTTGCAGAGGCCCGTTGACGTACCTACAGCTAAGAGTCAAGATTTGAGAAGCTTTAAGCTTATAATGGAGTATATAAAAGCCTTGCCTGTAGGTGCTCTTCTGCAGATTCCTTTAATAAGGCATAAACAGCCAAAATGTTGATAATATGTTTGTTAGGTAGTCATGTACGAAATTGCAAAATCATCTAGTTCATATGTCCATGCTAATGGCAGAGCTAATTCATGCCAGTTGAACTTTTGAAGTTGAGATGATTAAAATAACTATATATGAACTACCATTACCTTAGTTTTTCATGAGATGATGATGACTATGTGCAAAGATGCCAATATGGTTATTGGTGTTGGAGCTTTAAATGACAAGGGTGTGGTTTCTCCGTTAACATATATATATATATATATATATTTTATGGGATGATATGTCTTACAAAGTGTGATTGTTTTGGGCATCTTGAAGTCATTTATTATCATATCATGTTATATTATGTTGTTTAATTCCATCTAAAATTGACTTGCTCTTCCTCCATTTATTTTTCTCATTCATACAAATGATATTTTTTGCATTCGAATGTCTGTATGTATCCCATTTTGTTCCCTAAAGGAAGATGACACCAGTTTAAAGGCCGAAAAGTGGTCAAAGTTTCTCTCCACCTTGTGAAGTAGCTGCAGACAAATTTATATTTGTTACTCTATAGCAGTTGACTCTCCCACTCCGCCAACAATCTTTAATCAAGCCTCTCCTGCATGTTGAGCTATATGTATACTTTAGTGCAAGTCCATGATTGGATTATATCATGGTTATCATGAGTTAAAAGTTCTGGCGGTGGTTTTATCTTTTATGGTGTTGCTTTGTGAGTTTGAGTTGTCCTTTATGGCATACATTCTATCATCGTTAGCATGCTGATAAACATTTCTTGCTCTGTTTGATGCCCATCGAAAAAATTCAAAACAGTAAGAGGGAAAAAAAGAAGCAAAGTGACTCTGCTTGTTGATGCATCTGGATGATTAATATTCTGAACTACATGTTTTTATGTTAATGAAACTAATTAGCATGGTATGATGTTTACCTGCGAGTGTACCTGTAGACTGGGCAAGAAACAGATTTTGTTCTAGTATCATGTTCAGGAATGGGAATTGAAAGTTCAAGAAGGGAGCAAGTTCTTAAAGCCAAGCAGGTTTGACCCATTACTTCTTTTTTGTTTCTTTAATTTTGCTGGGAGATGTTTAATTTTTGACCTGTATGATGATGTCAATTTTCGGGGTTTATTCAGGCTGGGGAAGATTCATTGAGAAGATCTGGCCTTGGATACACAATAGTTCGTCCTGGCCCCCTAAAGGTAAAGTTTCAGTTGCAGAATATGGAACTTTAATTGACAATTATATGCTAGGAGGCAGGGATTCTAATATAGACCCTCCACAAGACAGTGACGCGGGGTTGCATGGTTGGTTAGTTAGAATTAGTATTTCACAATATGTTAATCATGTCAGTGAACTTTTAATTGCATCTGTTGAAATCTTGTTATTATGGGATCATTATGAACTCATTTGTTTATTTTTATTGTCCCTTGTTTATCACATGGGATTTTAGCATCTTAGTTGATTTGTTTCTTTCTGTTTCTATTTTCATCATGCATTTTGCCATCTTTATTATGTATTCTTCCCTTGTTTCTTCCTTGTTTGATGAGATTGGTCGATTGATTTCTAGTCTTGACTATCTCCTTTATAAGTACGTATATTTCCAAAAAAGATAAATTAGAATAAACTTTTGAATTCTAAAAAATAAAATGGTACATGGTATCAGAGCTAATGATTTCTACCCTTTGATGATTGAAAATTTGGCCAGGCAAAATTTCTCATGAATTTGTTGCATCGAACAAAAAATTCATTTTCCCGACCTTTTAGAAGCTATACCTCCTTTCTGAAGTAACAGACAAGAAAAGAGGCACACAGCCACACACTCAATGTACTCAATGCCACAATCATCCAGAGCCCGAAATTCAGCAGCCATCTGCGCTGCCACTTGCTGCCATGTTCTGTTGAAGTCCATCAAATGTGCCAGCGCATGAGAGTGCGTGGCTCACCTTCATCTTCCTTTGTTCACCCAGAAATGTCCAACTCAGCCACCTCGAAGCATTTGTGGTGTCTGCTCACCCTAATATGATAGATTAAGTTCGAAAAATAATGAATAGGTTGATGGTTTAATTTAACCAAGGTTGGTGGCTAATGAAAACCATTTATTTTTGTATACACAAAACCGTTCTTTGTGTGGTGGGTAATTTTTCTAAACGAGGAGGATGTTGTAAATAATTAGTGTTCTCTTGACTTACCATCAGCTTTTGAAACGCTTTCAGGAAGAACCTGGTGGTCAGCGTGCTTTAATATTTGATCAAGGAAATAGAATATCTCAGGTTTGCTGTTTCTATTTTTTAATTATGTACTGTGGAAGCAAATTGTTTCCCTTACATTCATGCATTCATGTATTTGAAAAGATATTAACATAAGAGTATGGTTGTTTATATGACCCATACATTTGTTTGCCCACTTTGTTTATATCTCTTTGAGGGCCCTGTTGACATTTATTTTTGTGAATGTGGAGCATACAAATTAGATCTGTTACATTCATGCATTTTGAGAGACTCATAAATACTTCTCTAATTCTATTTATAAGTTATTTTCAACGTGTTTCACTAATACAAAAAAAAATCCTTAAAACTTATTAACTGTGTCTTAAAATTTAATAAGTTTTCAACTTTACCCCTATTAAATGTACATACTTTAATAAATATTTTTTCTCTTCAACATTCAATGGAGGGTAAAAGAAAAAATTTGTGATGAAAATTTAAGGATGTGACTTATAAATAAAACAAAAAATAATTTTCTTTCTCTGCCCTATAAATAGGACTAGAGGGAGTATATAACTTCCAAAGTCTTTATCCCAAATTAAGAATCATGATCACTGACATGTGCATAAGCCATGCCTGTGGAAATTCTAACTGAGCAAAACATAGGTAAAACAGCAGTGTTGCTTTCCAATGATGCATATAATATTTATATGGTCAACGAAAATCCTAGGCTCGGTTTAGAAAAGGAAGAAAAATGAGAAATAAATCCATTAATTCTACATAATAGCCCAGGCAAAACTATTTAGATCGGATTCAGATCTGACCATTAGGAAAAACTAAGAAAAGAAGAATCTCTGAAAGTGAATAAGTGATACTTCAACCGTAACAAAACATAATGGTAACTGTCACATAACGTCTAGTAAGTCTTTGATGCGTCTTATGCATGGAGTCATGGAGACGGTTTCTTTTATCTAATGGCTGGGATTGATCAAACTAAAATGATTTTTATCAGATATAAGTTCTTTTTCAATCTTTTTATTCATTGAACCATGTACCCAGATTGTTAATAATAAAACTCATTGATTTGACTAATGGCAAATGTTTTTTGTTTTTATTAGGAAATCAGCTGTGCTGATGTGGCTGATATATGTGTGAAGGCACTACATGATTTAACCGCAAGAAACAAAAGCTTTGACGTGAGAAAATCATGCTTGATTATTAATATTGTACTGAGTTTTAACTAGAAGAAACTAAAACCTTTCAAAATTTCAGGTTTGTTATGAATATGTTGCGGAAGAAGGGAGGGAGCTTTACGAGCTGGTACGTAGACAAAAATTTACAGCAGTTCTATAGAAGAAAGGAAAAAAAAAAAAATGCAGTTCGTGATGATCTAGTCTGCATGCTTGGAAACTGAAATGCTGCATTTGAATTGCCCAGGTTGCACACTTGCCTGACAAGGCAAATAACTACTTGACCCCAGCACTGTCTGTCTTAGAGAAGAATACCTGATCGTTCCCTATTCAGTATCAATTGTATCTGACGCAGCTCTTCCTATAGGTGAGATTCCATCTAATGGCTGTGGCCAATTTGGCCCAATGGCTGTTTCAAGTAGATAATGTAATCGATAGGTTTACCGGTACAATCAAAAATTGTACAAATATATACTATTATAATTATAATGGGTTTAATTTGGTTGCAAAAAAAGAAAAAAAGAAAAGAAAATCGTGTATAGATATGAAAGTGGGGGAGGGGGGCTTGGAATTACTCGTTTTTAACAATGCTCTCATAAAGTGATCTCAATTTGATCCAACGTGTTGTGACTTGTACACATCAAGAATTTGATCTCGTGTGTGTGTCTCTCTCCCTCTCAGGGAGGGAGGGAGAGAGGAGGGTTCAATGTGTTAATAAATTAGAAGTCTTTTGAAATAATGTTGTATTGTCTGTGAAACATCAAAATTGATAACGAATTAATGTTGTCATGATCAAACCGGGCATTAAATCGTCATTGGCATTAAATCAGCTAAGATGTTGGTTCACTGTAGTGTGATCAAATTGTGATTCAACCAGTCTCAATTAAAATAATAAAATTTAAAGATTATGTATGAAAAGTAAAAATATTTTAGCCAATATTTAACTTCATCTTTGTCATATATATATAGTTAATTCTACCAACATTATAATAAAATTATTTATTATTTATTACAAATAATCAAAATCATCAAGTAATCCTTCACTCTAAATCCTAGATTGATTGGAGAAAGGGGATAGATCTTTATTATTATTATTATTTTTGGCCAATGGATAGATCTTTATGAAAGTTGACTTTATCACAGGTCTTTTAAGTAATCCTTCAGTCATCTTCTCCTATTTTGCCTATTTAATAATGAATTGTATTTCTTATGACCTCACCTGATAAGATAAGCGTCATTATTGTTGAATAATGAATTGCATTCATGACTTTTCCAGATTTATTATTTAGTAATTCATTCACTTCTTCAATCTCGTGATGTGCTTCACCCATTCTTTGGTCCACGTATTCTCTAAGTTGTAGCAAATTACTCAAGGTTAGGGTATTGTGGATGCTTTTGGATGCTTTTGGGTAGTGGTAGTTGTAAACTTAATAAGCTCGTGGGTTAATGAGGATAACCAAAGAGGTTTTGTCTGAAAAATGTTGACTTGGACATTCAATTTCATAAAAAGTGGAGGGTCATAGGCTGTGTTCGGTGGTAGAGAGCCCCTGACTAGAGTTGAGAATAAGGGTCGGGTTTAACGGACTACTCGTTTAAACCCGTTTTAATAAAGGTTCAAGTTTGAAAATTTGATATTTTTTTAGGATAATTGGGCTTCGAAACTCGACCCTTTTAAGTCCTAAAAAAAAGGGCTCGAGTCTAGGCGGCCCGTGAAGTTTGTTTTACTTTTTTTTTTTGTATTGTAGGTGATAATGATGAAGAAGCATGTAAAGCCCTAAAATTTGGTATTGTAGGTGATGATGATAAAGAAGCTACAGAGATAGTTGATATTGAGGCTCCATCTCTATCTTCCACGAGTGAACCTACATTAAGGGTTTCAATATTTTATTTGTGGATGATGATGATAGGGATCTTGATTAGGATTGATAATGATGTTTGCCTTCATCTTATTTGAACTTTTAAATTTTTTGTTTATTTTTTAAATTATGTGAGATTTTTGGTTGGGTGTATGTTGAATTTTAAAATATTCTAAATAAATTTTAATGTTGAATTTTATTTTATTTTATTTTATTCCTTTCAGGGCCTATGGGCTCGGCTGTGAGCCCTTTGAATAAGGGCCAAGCTTTAATTTTAGAGTAAAATTAGGATAATCGGGCTTTAGAGCCTAAGCCTATAAGAGCCGGGCCCATAAGGGTCGAGCCCATATGGGTTAGGCTCGCCCGTTTACTAACTTAGGGGGGACCGTAGGGGCCACGACCCCTCTAACTTTTTAATTTTTTTCTTAATAAAACATTGGTGTTATATATTTTCAATTTTCATAAGTTAGCGCATTATAGAAGTTATGAAACACTAGATGGAATTCTTATTTTAATTCTATATATAATCTTTTACATATGTATAAAGTAACTATTTCAGTAGTCTGAATATATAATTGTCATAAGATTTATTCATTTTCAACAAAATAATGTTATACGTACTCTTAAAATATTGGTATTTTTTTTTTTGCTTTCATTTTATATTTAATGATAGAAATTATGAGAATTATTATTAATAAACTTTGTTAAGCATTGCAGCAAAAAATTTCAAGTTATATTGAATGCTACGTGCTTGATATTTATCATAAAATCACTTATTCAGAAGCTAAGAGGTTTGGTGAAGATATTCTTCTAAAAAAAATTACTTTTTTAAAATAATCAAGCTATTAAAATTTATGATATAAATAGTTTTTAGTCTAATATAGTTCAATTTCATTGACATAAAGATTTTATGACAATTGAGTGTTATTAATGTGTTAATATATTTATTTACTATGATTATAAATTGAAAGAATTAAATAATAGATTTAATAAGCAAATAATAGAGTTCATTACATTGAACAACAATTTAGATTTTAATGATGTATTTAAATCATTTAATACTTATAGAAATGATAAAATTTTCACTAATTTAATGTAATTTATATTGAGAAGGAAATTACCAAAATACTTATCGTAAATATAGTAACTAATGATTTTTATTTCATGAAAAATTGATGAGCAAAACTTAATGTGTGTGTGTTGTTATATATGTGCAAAATTGAATAAAAATGTATATTTTGAAATATTTATATTATGTCGATAATATATATACATATAATTTTTAATTATCATATATATTTTATTATCTTGGCTCTCCTTAATAAAAATTTTTGGCTCTGCCCCTGGCTGTGTCAAATATGAAAAAAAAAAATCCAGAATAACCCAAGAGTTTTCTTTTTAGGATGGTTAACTTGGACATTTGACTTGGTGTAGCAGAAATTTTTCAGAGAAATGGTTAACATTTTAAAAATAATTTTTGTCAATTAGTTGTCCTAATATCAGCACCACTTTCTTTAATTGAAAGAAGTCCTAGATTAGAACCAGGCCCGTCGATAACATATTTGTGTCTTGGATTAAGGGTAAAATTTATTTAAAAAAAATGATTTTGACTTCGCTTGGGTCACCTTAACACTAAGCTCCCATGTCATGTTTTTAATTTTTAATTTTTAATTTTTAATAATACTTTTGTACTTAGTCTTATGAAAAAATTATATATATCCTATGAAGTAAACTTATTTACAAATAAGTCTTAGAAAAATATAGAAACCACAACTAGATTCATTGGGACTTGAGTGTAATTTGAAATTGAAATAAAAAGATAATAATGCTCCTATAAACATATATATACACATTACATCAGTCAAATAATTTATTACTTCATCAATAATTTACAACTATAATTTTATCTTTTTACAAGTGCAACTTTATATATTTAATAATTAAATTGATTAGTTTAACTATTGAATATGTAAAGTTATAGTTATGAAAAGTTAAAGTTATAATTGTAAATTACTAATCACTAATGAAATAGTTGTAATAATTAATGTTAAAATTTATTAGTAACATATGATTATTTCACTATTAGCTATAAAAGGTTACAGTCGTAAAAAATTAAAATTAAAATTGTAAATTACTAATAAAATAGTTATAATTTAATTATTTGATTGATATAATGTATGTTTATTAGGAGTATTTTTATAACCTAATTTTAAATTATACTTTAGTTTCAAGAGACTTGGATGTAGTTTTCAAATTTCATGAGTGCTCGAGGAGACTTATATGTAATTTTTTTAGTCTTATTTACTTAATATGTTTATATTTAGTTAAATCATGAAAAGTATATTAATATCTTAATGTGTTAATAAAATTAATAACAATAATTTATTGTAGAATAAATAATTTATAAAAGATGATTTAATTTTTTTTGCCAAAATATATTTTTTATAATTGTAATTTATAAAATATATTTTAATTTAATTAAAAAAAACATATTATTTTTATAAAGCTAAGTATATAAAATTTTTAATTTAATATTTGAAAAAAAAAACAATCTTCATTAGTTTCGTCAAATTTTATTTTTAATTCTTATAATTTTTTAATATTTTAAATTTTTATCAAAATTAAAAATATTAAAAAAATGAAATTATAGAGTTTTGCAAAACAAATATCCTCTAATCTTTTTAAAATCAAATAGATTAAAAACACTAGAAAAAGTTATAAGAATTAAAAAAAATTAATAAAATTATAAGCACTAATAATTGTATTTTTTTTAACTTTTAGGAGAAGGGTTTTTCTATTTTTTTTTTCATTTTTTTTATTTCTTCAATCCTTACTATTTAAATTATTTTATTAAATAATTTTTTTAAATAATAAAATTAATATAATAAGGATAGAAAAAATAGAGGAAAAAAAAGTGAAGAGACTCGATTCTTTTTTTATATTTGTATTTCGTTTCTTATTTTAATATAATTTGTCTGTTCATAATAATATCTGCGTTATTTTTATGGTTTTCCGCTTTTTAGTTTTTTTTTTTTTAACATTTTCTTATTTTTCGAGTGTTCAGTACGGTTGCTCATCTTATCGAATCGTCTCTCTCAAATGGTCGCCATTCAGCCGCGCGGGGTTCGGCCGTCTCTCCCCAATCATCTCTCCCTCTCCCTCTCTAATTTCTGACTCTCACTCAGACTCAATATCTCCCTAATCTACTAGACTCTCGGGTCTATCTTCACTAATGTGTTTCAGAAGGAGGGACCCATCGAATCTTTGCTTCTAGAGGTTCTAATCCGAATATCGGCGGCAGTGCACTTTCGCGGGATACACAAGTTAAAGCTTAAAGGGGTATGATTTAGCATCTGTGCAAACCTTTTTGTTTTGATGTCATCTCCCGTCGCTGTACATTGATGTCCTCTGAACAAAATGAAGTTATGCATGTCCAATTTTAGAGCATCACTTATAGCACTTTTTAAATAATTTTTGTTTTAATTTGTAACGATATATCTCATTAACTTAGAGCATCACTTAACGCAATAACAACATCATTCTTGTTATAAATAAATTGTTGCCTTGGACAGTACCGGTGTCACGCTAGTTAATTTCAAGTAGGGAATCAAATCATTGAATTAAATAAGTGGGGAAAAAAAATGCTAAATGCACTTTTTCCCATGTAAATGGATTTTTGCATCTACGTTTGTGGGTAGGACGAACCTTGTTCACCTTCTCATCTGAGAGGCTTGTAAGCTGAAGCATCAATTGCCTACATTATCTCGTAGGCCTGGTTTGATTCTTTGCCTTTGGGCTATTCTACTGTGAATTGGGTATGAAAGTGGTATGCCTTTCGTGCACCCCACATACCCTTCTGTCGAGAACCTCAAATCCGAAGTTTGGCTCAAAAGAAGCTCTTCTCTTTCTTCAAAATTGTGCCAATTTGAAGCAGTTGAAGCAAATCCATGGGAAAATAATCCGTTTTGGTCACTCCCATGACCAATTACTTGCCAGAAAGCTCCTTCATCTCACTTTCTCTTATGGGCATACGGACTATGCCACTGTTGTATTTGATCAGATCAAAGCTCCAGATACCTTCACTTGCAATGTCATGATTAGGGCTTATACAATCCATGGTTCCCATGAGCAGGCCCTTCATATTTTCAAGCTTATGTTATGCCAAGGTCCTACACCTGATACGTTCACATTCCCTTTTGTCATAAATGTTTGCTTGGCTTCTTGTGCCCGTGATTTTGGCAAATTGGTTCATGCTCTTGCAATCAAAATGGGGTTTTCAAGTGATATATATTTGCAGAACACTCTAATGAATCTTTACCTTAAGTGTGAAAATATAGAGTGTGGGTGTAAGTTGTTTGATAAAATGCGTGTGCAAAGTGTGGTTTCATGGACAACCATGATCTCGGGGCTTGCAGCTTGTGGACAACTGGATGAAGCCCGGAGAATTTTCGAGCAAAAGCCGTCGAAGAATGTGGTTTCGTGGACAGCAATGATTGATGGCTATGTAAAAAACCAGCAACCAATAGAGGCTTTCAAGTTATTTCAAAGAATGCAGCTTGAAAATGTGATGCCAAATGAATTCACAGTGGTAAGCTTGATTAAAGCTTGTACAGAAATGGGAAGCCTAAAGCTAGGCAAATGGGTTCATGATTTTGCTCTCAAGAATGAGTTTGATCTTGGGATCTTCATGGGAACAGCTCTGATAGACATGTACAGTAAGTGTGGTAGTTTGGAAGACGCTATGAGAGTTTTCCATAAGATGCCAACTAAAGGACTGGCTACTTGGAATTCAATGATCACTAGCTTGGGTGTACATGGGATGGGAAATGAAGCTCTTGCCTTTTTCAGAGAGATGGAGAGCACAAATGTAGCTGCTGATGCTATCACTTTTGTGGGTGTTCTAAATGCATGTGTTCTATCAATGACTTGGAGAAAGCTGAGAAGTACTTCAATCTTATGACTTAACATTATGGTATAGCACCTGTGATGGAGCATTATGAGTGCATGATTGAACTTTATAGTTGTGCTAATAGGTTGGATGAAATTTACTCCCTAGTGAGGACAAATTGCATCATGGTTTCAGAATTGATCCAAGAGAGGAAGGCCTGTGACGACGTTGATTAAAAGAACTTGAGTTCACTTCGGGCATAATGGAGGCTTGAAATGCTGAAGATTATTTGCTGGTCATTCCTCCTCAGACTCATATTCTCAGCTTTAGTGCTTCCTGTGGAATGTATACTTTTTTGGTAAGGGGAATGTATACTTATATCAGTCAATATAGATGATTTGAGACTCATTGTCTTCTATCATATGCCAAGTTGATGCAATGATCTCTCTCTCTCAGAAGCCCCCCTCTCTTCTTTTCTTTTTTTTTAAAAACATTACAAGAATCATACGTTTCATTGAAGATACATGTAGTTGGATGCTTATAGTTATGTATGACATGTTTGTATGAGTTACATTGACCATATTCTTTGCCCTATAAAATCTGAAAAAAAAAAAAAAAACTTTGCAACCTTGGCAATCAATTCCTATGAAGTGGCTAATGCAAAATACTTTCTAAACTTGATAGATGTCCAATTCCTAATGGAATGCTTGGCCATTAGCTTCTGTGATGATCTCTTAATTTTCTGCCGTCACCCTATAATTTATATAACTGGGAAATGTTACAACATTAAAAAGATATCATGATACATTTATTATCATCAAATTATTATTTAGTAAAAGATAGATCTTATTAAAAGATATCATGATACATTTATTATCATCAAATTATTATTTAGTAAAAGATAGATCTTATTATAAATGGTAGTTGGTTCAAGTGGTGTGATGCTAGTTTTCCTTGAATAAGGTTTCGGATGAATTTTATGTATGACTAAAATTGATGTCATGAGAGATTTACTCCCTCTTGGTTCAACCTAGATTAATTTGGATTTGTTGCGGGTCCATGTGGCTTTTTGTAAACCTTACATGTTTTACCAACAGTTTCATTTTCATCCTCTTGATAGGAGAAGCTGATAACATGAGTGTTTGATCATAGGGATATTATCCCATCCATATGTTGATTGTATTAGCGCACACAACTTCATTGATTCGTTATTTAATATAGGTTAAGGTGTACATCTACCCATAAAATATTGTGAGTAGTTACTGGCATCATCTAGCCCTTTAGCCTATGATCAATGTTATTTAAGATGTTCAAGTGTGAATCGGATCTAATCATGTTTATGTAAAGACTATATTAGGTCTAAGACTTGTTTTCCTCTCTTTATACATTCTAATTAATCTAGTTAAATTCTCCGTTAGGCCCAAATAAATCGCAAGTTCTCCAAATCCCAATTCTATAGAGCTATGGCTTCAAGTTATCACAAATCCGACAGGGTATTATCCAAAACAAGTTCCCTAGAGCCTTTAGGATTATAAAACTACCCTAGATTCCACTCCTATTTTCCTATTCATTCCTAAGGCATTCCTATTCATCTAATAAAAAAATCACATCCCTAAATCATAGATTATGTAGAAAAATAGGGAGAATAGGGGTAGGAGGGAGTATAGGGACTTACCTTTAGCATTCCTAGGCCTCAAATCCTTCCCTAGACCTTAAATTCTTCAAACCCTAGTAGAGAGGATAGATTTTAACAAGAGGAGAGAATTGGAAATGAGTTAAAAACCCTAAAAATCTCATTAAAGGAGTTTATATAGTGACCTGTCACGATGATATCTACTTGCGGCCATCCTTATGCATTTCACGTTCACCAACGGTTGAATGTCAAATAGAGGTTGTTGCCTTTATCCACGGCTATGAATTGAATTGTCCACGATTGCTCACGAATCGCGATCATGAATTGAATTGTCCATGATCATTCATCATGAACAGAAAGCACATGCTCTCCTCTTGCATCCTCTAAAACCTTGCTTCCTCTCTCTCAAGCCTTTCTAAAGTGTTCTAACCCCTTCTAAAGCCTTCCTATAGTTCCCTAAACAAATTGAAGGACCCCTTTTAGGAGGAGGATGTTATAAACCATGCTATGACCATGTTGTTTTTGGCTCACCAAGACTCAATGTGCATCTATGACCGCCAGAAGATTTTCAGTGAGATACTTCCTGTAATGTCTTCCTTGAACAAACATCAAAATGTTGTGAGACCAATGAAGACAGTATTGTCTATTGAGACAATGAACAATCATGGTTTAGGAAAATGAATCTTTCCCCATACTCAACATCCCAAAGGGAGAGTTCGTGCTAGTATTTTTTGAACCCAGTCCTTTTGAGCCCTCTATGTTCAGCGTTTTAGAAGTTCCATCATTTGTATTGAAGACTTGCGACTAGTTTATCAAACCTGATTTGAATGCCACTGATCGCATGACCAAGGCTTTGATACCATGAAATAATTTGCATAAAGCAACTGTGATTCACATTCACATTGTGCAATTACACATATAGAATAGATAGAAGAAATTTAAATCTAAATAAATCACTTAAATTCCTCCTTTAATCCCGGAACCTTAAAAACAAATAATAACATAAGATAATCAGATGTGATCTTATACAAAATGTAATCATATTTGATATAGAAGATAATCATATCTAATGTGATACAGAAGATAATATGATCTAATCTAATATAGAATATAATCAGATCTAGTCTAACATAGAATATAATCAGATTTGATTTGATATAAGAGATAATGAAATCTAATCTAATCTAGGGAAATTAGGTTGGGGCTTTATGAGTGGTGGCCAGCCCACTTTTAACAATTAACAAGTTCAAATATTTGATAGGGTTTGATTGTAGGAAGGGATAGGTGTAAGACCTATTTCAACAAACAATCATTCATTAATTAATAAATATTTGTGTACATTTAACAAGCAATTATTTATTAACTAATAAGTTCAAAAATCTAACAGGGCTTGGTTGTGTAAAGGGACAAATGTAAGACCTATTTCAATAAGCAATTATATGTTAATTAACAAGTATCATGTGCATTTAACAAGTGGCCATATAACTTTCATTATACTCAAAAAAGAAAAGTCCTAGAGTGAGAAGCTCCACCTTCTCTCTAGTTTTCTAGAGAGAAGGTTTATCTTCTTTCTATCTGCTTCTATCATCACTGGAGAGAAGGTTTATCTTCTTTCTATCTACTTCTATCATCTTCTTTTGTGCTTTCTCATGAACTCCCAACTCAAGTTTGATCCCAATTTCATCTTCTTTGCCTCCACTTTTCATGAGAATAACATGAATCCACCTGCATTTAAAGAAGAGCTTGGCTTGATCAATAGGAATAATACAAAGCTAGATGAAGTAATGATTGACAAAGGCCCAGATCCACACTTGATACAAGAAGCTCAACACGGACATAACAAAGCAACCCAAATGCATTGCAAGGCCAAGATTAATCTAGAAAACCATTAGTCAAGCCAAATACTTGCAATCTGGAAACCAATGCACATCCAAACAAAGCACCAATGATTCAAGGAATTCAAGCTCCTATCTCATATAAACAACCACTGATTGGGTACAACGGATGCTATGGAATCAACACATAAAATAATGCCCAGCATATAAATGAAAGCTTCGCTAAAGAACTAGAGCAAGAATGGTCTCCAACAGAAAGAACCAAAAAACTAATGGATTTATATCCATCTGTCCAGATTTCTAATGAGGAATGGAAGAAGATTTGCTTACCCCAAATAGATGCTATATTTATCAACACTCTGGGATTACATATAAATCCCAAATCTCTCAAACCAAGGCTAGCAAAGATGTGGCAACTCAAAGACTTTGAATTAATTGATCTCGTCAACAGTTATTACATTATTAGAACCAACAATCAAACTACTATGACAGCATACTCAATGGAGGTCCTTGGACAATATTCAATCATTGTATCCTTGTCTAGTAATGGTTTGCAAGTTTCGATCCCAACTCAAATACATTAGGCAAAATTGCTTTATGGGTTAGACTCACTAACGTTCCTGTTCAATGCTACGACAGAGAGATTCTTTAGAGAAAAGGCAATTGCATAGGAAAACCTCTTAAAGTGGATGCCAACTCCCTTGTAAGGGCTACCGTGTCATTTTGGACGTGTACGTCTAAAGAGGTTAGTCCATGAGAGCAAAATTAGATTTGGTACTTAGAATGTTAGAACATTGAATTATAAATCTGTAGAGGTTGTAGGGGTTATGATTCAAAGAAAAATCAATATCCTTTTCTTGCAAGAAACAAAATGGTGTAGAGAAGAAGCTAAGGATATTCAAGGTCTTAAATTTTGATGTACAAGAAAAGTAAGTGCACGCAATGGAGTAGGCATCATTGTGAATAAGGAGTGTAAGAAGACGTTGTAGAAGTTAGTAGAATTGAAGATAAAATTATTTCCTTAAAAATGATAATTGGACGTGAGACTGTTAATATTGTTAGCGCTTATGTGCCTCAAGTCGAAACAGAAGCCAGTCTTAAGGAATTATTTTAGGAGGATCTGGAGGGGTTGATTCAACACATACCACAGAGTGAAAAGATTTTTATTGGAGGAGACTTTAATGGGCATGTCGGGAGGGAGGTTAGTCAGTATGCGAGGGTGCATGGTGGTTTTGTTTTTGGAGAGCTAAACAATGAAGGACAAACTCTTCTTGATTTCTTATTGGCATATGATTTTAAAATTGCCAACACTTGTTTCAAGAAGAGAGATGAGCATCTCATCACTTACAAAAGTGGAGCCTCAAGGTCATAGATTGATTTTCTTTTGGTTAGGAACACAGATAGAAGACTCTGTAAAAATTACAAGGTGATTCCCGGGGATGCTGTAACGACACAATATAGGGTCCTAGTCCTTAATGTGTGTATTATGAGTAAAATTTAAAAACGTTGACAAGTAGTAGTACCAAGGATTAAGTAGTGGCAATTAAAAGGTGAAAAGCAATATATTTTCAAGTGGAATCTTTTGGACAAGGAAATTTAAAAATCTCAAGGAAGTGCTAACATCATGTAGGAGGATATAGCTAAAAAGTTACAGGAGGTTGCAAAAGTAGTTTTGGGAGAATCAAAAAGTTTTGGTCCGAGAGATAAGGAGTCTTGGTAATGAAAAATAGTGTATAGGACAAAATCAAGCATAAGAAGAACTATTTTAAAGCCATACATTTGTGTAATAATGAGAAAAATTGGGAGAGGTACCGTATGGCTAAGAAGAAAACTAAGAGAGCTGTGGGTGAAGCTCATTCTAAAGCTTTTGAAAAATTTTATAAGAGCTTAAGACGAAGGAAGGAGAACGAAACATTTATAAGATTACTAAGAATAGGGAAAGAAAATTAAAAGATCTAGAATAGGTAAGGTGTATAAAGGATGAAGAGGGAAGAATTTTAGTTACAGATGATAAAATTAAAAATAGATGGGAGACTTACTTTTTCAAACTTTTCAATGATGGAGAGGGTTCATCTAGTAACTTGGAGGATTGAGTAACTAGTG